AAGAGCGTCAATCAATAGGAAATTATTCTTGAAATGAAGTTTAAATGGTTATTGTAAAGTTTTATTTTTTAAAATGCATCAAAATATAAAAAAAAAAACAAACAAATAGAAAACTAGTTAAATTCTCTAGGAGTTCCAATTCTCATAATGTCAGCTAAAAAAATGAAAGTGAGTAACTGGACAAACATAAAAAATAATGAGTTGCTAAAAGTGTCAATGTTAGCTAATTTATCTACACATTTATCTTTTCTATAGGAATGTAAAAAAGATAGCGATCAATTTTGTTGTTAGAAGAACCTAATACTCTATACAATAGAGACATAAGGAGGTGTCACTCACATAGTTGTCTTAGAATTAGATTACAAATTAAAGATCTAAATCCCAAATTCCAAGTTAAATTCAGACCGATGGAGACATTATAACTTCTTAAAAATCCTTTTATCCAATTTCCTTGATGGTCTTAAAGAATGCCAACATAATCAAGAGTTCTGGGATTATCAAAAGAACTTCCGTCCGTATTTAGCTTCACCACTATTGTAGTAGTACGAAGCCATTGAACAATAATACTATCTTTGACATGTTTCATGTTAGTATCCTCTTGAAGGATGGAAAACAAATAAGATAGTTTTAATTCTCTACAACATTCGAACGTAACAGTAAAAAGAATTCTTACCCTTTCCTGTAGCATCAATTCTAAGCCATATTTATTGGTATGTACTTCCCCGGTCCCTCCGACCCTTTTCCCTATTAAATAAAGTTAGACTTATGTATTTTCTTTTTCACAAGATTTATTCTTGCTGATTTCCACCTCTAGAACCGAATAATTAGCCTTGATACATGAGAACATGTTGACCAATGTATCAATTGGATTTCACGGCACAAGGGGGAGTAAGTTATTTCGTGAGGGTTCACTTTTTTATTTTTATAGCACCTCTTCTCATTTCACTATTTCAGCTGAAACCAAATAGTAAAACTCTTCTACTTCTACTCGTTCCATCCTCTTTTTTTTTTTTTTTTTTTTCATGTGTGTAGTAGAAGTTGGTAAAAACGAGTAGATTTAAATTAAATTCTGCATATATTATGATGAAAGGCAAAAGAAAAAGATAGTGCGTATTAGGCAATAGACAATCCTTTTTTTTTTTTTTTGTAAAGTCAATAAATGAAAAAAGAAATCCGTTGACTACACTGGTCTCCCACAGGGCAGAGCAGGTTCGATGAAATGAGGATGAGAGTTTCCATATGCACTTACCCTTCTTCTATTCTCCTCTCTCTAAAATCAAAACAATCCCCTCTCATGGACCACGCCATGGTAGCCATCGTGAGCGCCATCGGCAGCTTCTTCGTGGTCAGCCTCTTCCTGGCGGCGGCAATCCTCCTCTGCCAGGAACGCAACTCCAACAAGAGGCGGACGCGTGCCAGCGATAGCCACAGCCACAGCCACAGCCACAGCCACAGCCACAGCCGAAGCCGCGGCGCCTCCCTCTCCCTGGCCACGGTGGAGAACGCCAGCTGGTTCTCCGACCCCAACCTTAGCAAGATCCCCTGGGAGGAGCTCGCACGCGCCACCGAAAACTTCTCCCCGCACCTCATCGTGGGCGACGGCAGCTTCGGCCTCGTCTACAAGGCCCGCCTCTCCACCGGCGCCCTCGTGGCCGTCAAGAAGCTCTCCCCGGACGCCTTCCAAGGGTTCCGCGAATTCACCGCCGAGATGGAAACCCTAAGCAAGCTCCGGCACCCGAACATCGTGAAAATCCTTGGGTACTGGGCCTCCGGGTCAGAACGGCTCCTGGTGTACGAGTTCATCGAAAAGGGGAACCTGGACCAGTGGCTCCACGAGCCCGATCCCGATCCCTCCCGCTCCCCCCTTTCCTGGGAAACCCGGGTCCACATCATCCGCGGCGTGGCCCACGGGCTCTGCTACCTCCACGGCCTGGAGAAGCCCGTGATTCACCGCGACATCAAGGCCAGCAACATCCTCCTGGACTCCAACTTCGAGGCCCATATTGCGGACTTTGGGCTGGCCCGCAGGATGGAGAAGACCCACTCCCACGTGTCCACCCAGTCGGCCGGAACCATTGGGTACATGCCTCCCGAGTACAGAGACGGGTCGAATGTGGCGAACACGAAGGTGGACGTGTACAGTTTCGGCGTGTTGATGATTGAGACGGCCTCCAGTCACCGGCCCAATTTGCCGATGAAGTTGGGCCAGGACGACATTGGCATGGTCCAGTGGGCTAGGAAGATGAGGGATCAAAATGCAGAGATGCAGATGGTTGATGGGAGGGAAGGGTTCCGGGTAGATAGTGTGAAGGAGTACGTCCGCATCGCTTGCGAGTGCACCGCTGAGTTGCAGAAGGACAGACCCGAAATGCCTCTAGTTGTCAAGTGGTTGGACTCCATCCCACTTTGATACTTTCTATATATCTTCTTCTTGTAAATCTACTTCCATTACCATTAATTGCTCTATAAATCTCATCAAATCATCACATTTTTTTTCATTCTTCTTGCTGCCGCTGCCAATTCACTTGTTTAATGTACTACTACTCCACAAGGAGACACGCCAAACCTTCCCAATTACTCTCCATTCTACTTTCTCTTTAGTTTTAATAAACTTCCCTTTTTTTCCTTTATTTATATAATCGCCTGATTCTTTCTATTCTCTTAACTCAAATTTGTTATATTCACTAGAATCTTAAAATCAAATTGAAAATCCTTATTTGTTAGTTACTACAAGTCACCACCATTCTTAATTTTTTTCTTCCAATATAATAAATTGAGAGTTTAAGGTGAAGCTTCAAAAATAAGTAATTAAGTACTATTATTTCATTTCATTATCATTTATTCATTAAAGATCCATAATTTGAATCATAGATAATTTAATTTTTTGTCTATACTTGTTTAATTGTTTGGGATTAAACATGTTGTATAGAAAACAACTTTATGCTAATATCAAATGAAAACAAAATAAATAAATTGAAATTGATATTAATTCTTAAAAGGTAATCTTGATATTTTTTTTGTTCAACATACTATATTTTTTTCTTCAAAATGATGCAATAGATAATCTAATTTACAAAACTCAAAATTTCAAGAATGAATAACCATATAAAAATAATAAAGAAATTGATATTTTAACTTGGAATTTTGTACACTCCCATGTTCACTAAGCTTCTTTAATGAGAGCTCAATTTTTATCTCATGGGCTTCCAATGGTTAATTATAAAGCTTTCTCTATTTGGCTTATCATTTTTTATCATTGGAATACTGTGAAAGCTAACATGGGTTGGGTCTTAGAAAATGATTCTTTTATTAATTTATAGATTGATGTTTGGTGCATGGATACTTCAATTACTAATGTTTTACAAATTCCTGTTAGTCTTCATTTGATCTTGAAGGCTTCTATGAGTTATTTCATTTGTATATCAATTTTGATCATCCCTCCAATAATCTTACAGAAATTCCCTTTCTTGTTAAAGGATGTGTCTGTTGCTAGTGACCTTGGTTTTGATCAACCTGTGTGGCACCCAACAAGTTGTGGTATCCTTTCTTTGAAAGCGGCTTCTATTTATGTTTGTTCTCCTGATTCTACAATTACATGGGCTAAGTGCTTGTGGTCTAGCTCTATCCCTCTTTCACGCTCATGTTTAGTTCAGAGACTTTTGCAATATCGGCTTCCTATTGTTGATCAACTACGTCCTATAAGTATGGTTTTGGTATCGATTTGTGGCCTCTGTGAATTATTTGACGAATCCTTGAAGCATCTATTTTTGAGATGTAAATTTGCTTATTCACTTTGGACTTAGTTGTAACATGTTTTAAACTTGTCTTTAAATCTTTCATATATAATTCCTTGTTTTCGATTCTTAATAGGAAATGGAGTTCTCAAGTGAAAGATATTATATTCTGTCTTGATTCATATTTTATAAATATTCTGGTTATCAAGAAACAACTTGTATTATAAAAATATTATAATTGATTATCTTTCCGCAATTTTTATAGTAATTTTAACAATATTTTTATCATATTTATCTTTAAGGGTCAAGTTTCTTGCTCTATAATTGAGTTTCATATTCGGAAGTATTTTTTATTTTATTTTATTTTTCTATTCATCCCATAAGTTTGCGTAGATAACTCAAGTGGATTAGCACCCCCACCTTGTGACATCATTAAATGTAATATTAAATAACACTGTAGGATGGTAAGTTTTCAAATGCTAATTAATTAGAGTTTTCGTTTTGTTTTACAATGGAAAAACCGAGCGCAAGAAATACTAGCATGCAGAATATGAAGACCAACGGGGGAGTAATCGCGTGAATTAATGTCAAACTTGATGAAAAAAGTTTGACTTTGTGAGATATTTTAAGATTTTTTCTTTCTTTCTTTTTCTAATGCTTTTAACTGGTCGCTGGAAGGTAAGAAAAATAATACAAGACCTGGTCAAATAATCCTGACCAAAAGGAATAATCAAAACAGGCACCTCATATTTCCAAACTGAAAAACGGTGGAAATGATAAAGAAAAAGTAGGAAAAAAAATAGCTGAGACTTAAATCGCAAATCCAATATTTCAAATAATATGAATACACACTTCCATTCTACACAGTGCCGTGGCTGCCGCAAGGCGAACGAAACCGTAGTTTTAGCCTTTTAGGCTCCTTTTCAAGTTTAGTTTTTTTTTTTTAATAATATAATTAAAATAATAAATTTATTTTATTATTTATA